ACATTAAACAGGAGGGCTGTGTCATGCCCCCGCCGCCATTGAACCCTCAGCATTAAAAACAGCTGCAACCTGCTCATGTTTAAACGTCTGCTTGCCCAGACTCATTCACCTGTAGAGGAGCTCTGCGGGGCTTCAGACAGAGCCCTTTAGTTTTCAAGATCAGAGTAATCCAGCGCACACCAGGACTACTCAGATTGACTTTAAAGTTGAATGCATATAAAACATTTGGGTTTGCGCTCCACTGATTAGCATCAGTTGTAGGTTTTAAGACTTTTTGACTCATTTTAGTTGTTAGTATTCACAAGATGTGATTTCTCATTTTAAATATAATGATAGATATGTAAGAAAAAAATAAATAAATGAACACAAACTCTTAATGCCCATCATACTAACTTTCTGTATTTTCAAGTTTGATAAAAAGGGTATTTTTTTCTCTCACATTTGTTATCTTTATGCATATTTTTCCAGACCTTGCACTCCTGTGCTGCGATTGGCAAGAACATGCTTGTCTTCAGAAATGATGCAAGTTTTCCGTTGTAAAGCTTTTTCACCCAGGACCAGAACACACCTGTTCTTGTCTATTGTTCAAGTCTTCATTGACTTTAAGTTTCAGCCTAAGCCAAAGTATTTTTTATAAACCTAACCAAGTAGAGTTGATGCCAAACTGTGACTCCTTTAACCACAGAGCCAGTTAGCGTTAGGTCTCAAACAAACTTGGTAAGGTTTAAGAAAAGGATGTTGGATTGGGTTAGAATCTTAAGTCAATATTGACATTAAATATTGGACATGAACAGCAGGCTCCTTAATGAAAGTCCTGTGTGGCTAGAGGCTTCCTAGCCAATTACATTACAGAAGTAGTAGCCAGACAGTTTGATTAGCTTAGTATAAAGAGTAATTCTTGGCCTGTGTCAGTGACTTCCTGGAGTGTATGCTGGCTGTCTGACTTATGGCAAGGCGCTCCAGTCACTACTCTTAGCCAAGAAGAATGAGTTCAGCATAGTACTTTTGTACTGATTTAAAATACAAGAAAAAAACTTCAGTTAGTGAGCCTTGGGAGACTTTGTTGCCCTTCCATAAAGCCAGGCAAGCTGGTTGCCTCCGTTTTAGTGAAATCACCAAAAGTATTTGTTAAAATTTGGTTTCCACAACATTTAACCTTTTTGATGATTGACTTTTGCTTCAAACATTTATTTGTACACAAGGCATGTTTTTCCCATCTCTTTTTCCCCACACGTTTACATCTGTCCATCTATTACCCAGACCCTGTTAATAGACCAAACATCTCTCATGGTTTCCTGACTTTTTCTGTATCCTGATGCCTCATTTATGTAATGTATGGTCTCACTTTTCTTTCTGGCTGCTACACTGCTCGTGCTCATATGGCTATCTCCTTGCCAGGTTTCGCATAATGTATGCCATCCCCGCCTGCCTGCCATCTGTGTTCATCTCTCAGTAGTCTTTCAATGTCCTATCTCCTAGTGAGGAGGTGTATGTTACATTATATACAGGGAGGACGGTTGGAAGGGCTCTCAAACAACATGATGTTAAATTAAAGTGAGGAGATGAAACCTGAACAAACAAAAGAAAATACGCTGACACTCCTCTTCACGTGCCACGATCAGATCTCACTAAACAGAAGGCACAGAGAAGCATTCTTAACATTCCTCGTAAAAACGTGGGTAAGGCTTACGGCTAAACTTGTGCTAGGCTCTGCCTCTCCCTGCCTGAACTAGGAGGTCTGGTGAGGCTGTTAGCGAAGTGGTGGTGTAAGAGGAGTGAGCACAGCGTGGCATGATGCGGTGAAAGAGAACCAAGTTGAGCTTTTTCTGAGTGAGACAATAAACGGCATCAGACTTCAAAAGTGGACAGATCTCGAGGCCGTATCCAAAAGTACAGATGCAACCCACTGCTCACTAGGGTTTGACCCGCTCGTTCGCTACAACTGTCAAGCAATCGAAGCAATGACTTACTTATCGCGCAAAATGTTACGTCAAATATCAACTTTTGTTCCTTGACCTCAGACAAGTGAAGGCCTCACATTTTTAGCCGTCGACAGTCTATTTCATCCACTGAAATCCATCTCTGGCTGACTTTTTAATGTTTCCAGCTGACTCGCATTAAATGAAAATCCAAGCCTTGCAAAAAAAAAAAAAAAAGGAGTCTTGAATTTGAATTTTTCTGACTTTGCTTCATGCTGTTCCAGGCAAAAGTCAGCATGTTCCCCAGTAGATAAAACATTCATAAGACATGAAAATAAGAGCTTTGTTGTTCTTGTATTGCAAGGTAGAGCTAGAAAGTCCAAAGACTAAAGAAATGATGAGTTCAATCGTTGTGGATTAGTTTTGTTATTGATGCGTGATCAATAGGCGAGTTGTTTCAGCCCTCGATCATTAAACATTCCCGTTGTACTCAGGATTGACATGAAGGAAAAGATGCATGGTTGCATTGCAGTTACAAAGTGAGGAAACCGAGATTGACATGTTGGAATACTTTGTAAAGCTTGCGTGCTCTACTGTGCATCATCTCACTTCTCAAACGTTCCTCTCGCCTCCTTGGTTTTTATTTCTGGGTACCTAATGGGTCTCTGCCCCAGGCGTTGTCTCTCTGGGGTAAGCGAGCCGGCGCAGAGAGCTGCGTGGATGTGATGCTCCACTGTCCCTTTTAGAGTGCAAGCTCATTGTCTGCCATCACGTGTGTTCGTGTATAGTGTGTGCTTGTGTTTGCTTTTGGCTTAATCAGCAGTGCTGAGTTCAGAAATTCCAGTTCATCAGAGAGCGAGAAAGCGGGAGAGTCAGCAAGATATGATCAAGTAGGACAGAAGATGAAGCTTCAGCGGTGACGGAGTGATTTTACAAGACAAAGAAGAGCAAGAAGCGGAGGATGAGGAGAGGCTTGAATTTAGGGCAGGGAGAAATGGAGTGGATTTAAGGCCATTGTAATGTAAAAAAAAATATGATACCAGTACCAGTGCCCTTTAGGTGATACTGATACCAACTTCAGCATTAAAATCTGAAGTGATGTAAAACCTAGTTTCCATGCTGATCGGCATCTCCTGTTGTTAATACTTTCTATTGAGTAAGTACCTCATACAACCGAGACAAAAAGCTTTCTCTTTAGCTTTTCATTCATACCGTGATCTCATTTGATTGATTTTTAAGGACCAGGCACATTAATCAACGTATTTTTGGTAATTGTTGTGACTGTTAAAGCTAGCTGGTAAATTAAAATCTTTACCGGCGTCAGATGTTTTTAAATCATCATAAGAGTCAAGATTCGAGATTCAAGATTTGTATTTGTCACATGCTCATACAGATGTGCGGTGAAATGTAAAGACTGTTCGCAAGGCCATGCAATAAACACTCAAATTACTAACACACACATATACAGTAAAATAGAAATATAATGTAACATTTAAAAAAGAAATATTTGAATGTACAAAATATAGAATATAGAACAATGTAAACAGTGTAAAGTGTCAGTGTGTAAAGTGTTCAGGGTGTCAAAGTGCAATGTGCAGATTGGAATGTGTGGTGTGTGTGCATCATGTAATCACAGTTCTGTGTTGTTTTTAACTGAGGAGAACAAAAGAACAATAAGTACAAAATGTATACATTATTTTATGTCAGATATCACATGGTATCCCATCAGCCTCAGCTGCTCTGTGAAGTCCTTAGCATGCAACACTAACAGGCAGCACTATTGTGAACATACTACCGTTCCACCTGCTAACCATCAGCATGTTAACATTGGCAAAGCTAGCCTGTTGACATTAGCATTAATCTCAAAGCACTGCTGTGCCTGCGTACAGTCTCACAGAACAGCTAGCATGGCTGCAGACTCTCAGTCTTGTTTTTACTTCCATTGAACAAATTCACTGCAGACAGGGTTGACCCCTTCCCTCCCCAGTGGGGAAGCCATGGGCTCTGTGGTATGCACCAATTACAGTGTTTTTCCCCTCTTCCCCAGCAGCACCCATGACCTGTGAGTGTAGCTGTAGCCAAGTGAATGACTCAAGGTGACTTGTTTCTGTACACCAGCTCCGAGAGGGGCCTCGACTGTCACAGCGTTTTCTTTCATGGTGACAAATCACTGATTAAAGTGGCTTTAAAGTTTGTCCACTAAGTGACTTCATTTTCTAGCAGCAGTGTCTTTTCCTGATGATTTAGTAATGATAGAACAAGTGTAGAGTCATTGAACAGGTCATCTGAGCATGTTGTAAAGATTTTTCAAACAAAGTCCTGTCATTCTCAGAAACTGGAGACACCTTCTCGCCTCCCCCCCCAGCTCTCTTTCTTCTTCTCTCCCCTGCTTGCACGTTCTCCCTCCCTCACGTTTATTCTCTGTTTTTCTCATTAGGCAGACAGATAAATATTGTTGCGTTCAGAGTCCTCCGTTATGATATCTTTATCGCGTGTGTACATGTAGAAGACGTAGACATAAACACAGCCTTTTATCATATCCTGAATGCAGTGTTAGCTGTGCAGTCAAGACGATTTTAGAGGTTTATTTGACAATGGTGATTTGTTATTGTAGGAGGAGAGTACAGTGAGCTTCCCCACGATGAGAGCACTTTCGAACAAAAGCCAGAATGGGGCTTCCTCTTATTTGCTCCATTTTCCTCCTAACTGTTCGGCCGTTACTCATTTCTCTCTGATCTCCTCCCTACAACACACCCCACCCTCTTCCCTCTGTTTACCTTTCCTTCAAGAAATCTCTTTAACCAGACCTCTCTTTTTTTCACTTCATGTCATGGCTTCTTGCTCTCTATGACCGTGTGAGAGTGTTTCTCGTGCTTATAGTCACTCTCCCTCCCTCCCCTCTTTTTCACTCAGTCCTTATATAAACACAGGCAGGGACTTCAGTCTTGGTGTCTACAATATGTTTTTACAGCTTTCCCAAGAAAGGTGTGTTAATGGATGTGCGGCTGGCTGGGTGGCTGTTTTTTTTTAACTGATAAAGGGAGATGTCAAATTGATGTGTGTGTGTGTGTTCTGTTTCAGATGACAAGCCCGTCCAGGAGGAGGACTGGGTGGTGTGCCAGCACCCTGAGTGTCCCGAGCGCCGGAGGGCCTCTAAGGTAAGACTATCAAGCCTGCGGGTCTACTTAATGAGGGTCTTTGGGGGGGTACAGATTTCACCAACTTCTACGGCAGCAGAGATATTTGTGTGTCTTCAATCTTATTTTCTTAAAGTACCCATGAAATGAAATACACCATTTCATGTTTTTAATCCAGCGTACCTGTGTTAAATGTGAATTGGAGATTTTCCCTTCATGACATCACAAAGGGCAGTAACCCCTCCCCCAGGTGGGTGACACTCCCACAGCTAGGTGTTTGTTCTGCCCTCTGAGTCTGCCTTCTCACCGTCAACAATAGGACATGGAGCGAGAAAGCCCAAGCCACATCCCCTTCCAGAGAGGGGGCGTGGTCAGACACAGCTCATTTACATTTAAAGGTACAGACACAGAAACAGCCTGTTCTGAGCAGGGCTGAAATAGAGGGGTTTATAGACATGATCAAATACAGGATCAGAGTGGATTTAGAACAAGAAACTTCACACGCATGTTTCGGGGAGCTCTGAGACTTATCATATTTTATCTTCATATGACAGCAAATAAAACTGTAATTTAATGATATTTGATCATTTTATCTCAACCAGACTCATGACTTCATGTACATTTGGATAAGATAGTGTCCTTTGTTTTAGCAAATGTCAAAAAAATACTTGTTAGCATTCAAGTACTCGAATCTAAATAGCTTTACAAATCTTCTCTTTGCCACTAACTCGCCTTTTTATGTTTTTGTTTCTTCCTGTTCCCTACCAACAAGCAACCTCTGGCTTCTTGTTACCCCAACCAAAATCGTATCCTTATCTTAACCACTTGGAAGTTATAATCATCATGATAACACCCCCCCCCCCCCGAACTATACCAAACCATCATCTTTCCTAAACTTTAACCAGTATATTTTTTGTGCCAAGAGCTAACCAAGCGTTCTTTTTTATGCAGCAGTGATTTGCAGCGGGTTTCGGAGTCACTGACAAATTCTATCTTCATGATAGAGATGTCAAGCCAAAACAATTACATGAGTCATGCTTAGCGCAATTACACTCATTTTAGTAATTTACAGGAACCGTCTTAAACTTCCTTAAACCCCTAAGCAACCAGAACAGACACAAAAAAAACAACTTTTTGTCACTTAAACAGGGACTTACCATATAACAGCTTTGATTTCATGATATACACACACCTCTGACACATCCTTGTTGGATGCACCCAGAGTGTTTTGCGTCTCTTGTGTTGCATTAAAAGACACAGTAGGTGAAGCATCGTGTCCCAGTGTGTAGCTGCTTCTCTTCTTTTAGGTGTTAAAAGGGGCGTGTGTGACGGAGCTCAGTGTCGGGCCACTAGACTGTGAAATGATTTATTCCTTTGAAGCCACTGGTTTCTGAAAATGGGAGTCTAGCCAGACAGCTACGGGAAAGTGACATAGTGTCTGTCTGTCTGTCTGTCTGTCTGTCTGTCTGTCTGTCTGTCTGTCTGTCTTGCAAACAGAGCTTAGCTTAATATAGATGTTCCCATTGAATCAAGACGTCGTCCCCTGCTGTCCTCTCTGCAGAAACAATAGAGGGAAGATGACTGCTTGAAAAAGACAGTGAATTCAAACAGCACATGGAGAGAGAGAGAGAGAGAGAGAGAGAGAGAGAGAGATGTTATATATAGTATTTCACCATGGCAACAGAGAATAATAAAGTGGGGGAAGAAGAGAGAGCCAAAGAGCTTAACCTGAACTATCCTCACTCTGCTCCTCACATTATTGAATCTCCTGGCCCCTCTCGCAATGACAGTCTCCCTCCTTTTTTTTTTTTTAAAGTATGTGTTTGCAGAGACGTGAATGAGGCAGACGGTGAGTTTCAAGTGTGTGTGTGTTTAAAGTATACCTTTTGTGTTTAAAAGACCTGCTGTGGCACAGGGGGGACGCAGTGTGGGACAAAACATGTCTGACGCCACCTGGGGTTGACATTATTATGTAAGATTATGAAAAGACTTGTGGCTCACTGGGACGTAGAAAACTTAGAAAGACAGACATTTACCCTTTTTGTAGCGCTCTGTGACGTTCAACAGCTCCTTGTTTATTCTTTCTGTCGTGTTTTTGCTGCAAACAGAAAGCACAACGTAGTTTTAACTGAGCTTTTGATAAGTAGGTACAGCACCATACTTACCTCCTATATTAACCCACATATGTTTTATATCTTACATGTACCTGTGTCAGAGGGTAAAAGGGCATCCTGCTCAAATCCATTTTTTTTTTTTATTCCTATTGCACTCAGACGTCTCAGACAAAGGCATTAAAGGTTGTAAAATAACTGGACGTAATCCCTGTCTGTTTGGAAAGTTGTTTAGCAGACTCCACTGACATTCATCGCAGGAGCAGAAAGTGTCAGAGCAGCGGCCTACTGACGGGACTCACGCTGCCCTGCCTTTGTGTTAAAGTGCGCTCCTCTTTTTTCATCTTCATTCACTTCCTCCATCACAGTTACGTTTTTAGTTGAAGATAATTTTGAGATTCAGTTTAAAAAGTTTGAAGCCTGTCGTGATATTTCTAAAAGCCACTAAGTGAAATATGCTGATAGGAGCATAAATTGGCATTTAAATGTAAACAGTCATATAATCCAATACAAAAGGGAAAACAATATGTGAAAATTACAACGAAAATGGTCTACAGAAAGTATCAAACTGTTCGGTGGTGCAAATCGATTACCTAAAATGTGAAGAATTGAAATTCATCTGTTTAATGCTGATTCGTCAGAAGTGTTGACTAAAGAACATTATTGGCTGGTGTTGGCTTCTAGATTTAACATCATGTTGAATCACTGTTTGGGTTTACGCTTCATTGCTTGACCCTTGAATGATTTTTCTGTCCCAGTAAACTTGAGATATTCCCAGATTTCATCATTTCTAGTAATTCAGAATATTTTAACACGTTGTCTTGTGAAATAAGAACACTGAGAAGGTGAGTCATGATAGATTGGTAATTTTCCGGACTGTTAAAGAACTGAAATGTATTGTGCAGCAAAATATTTTCAGTTTGTGTATTTTTTCATTATTGTTGCTCAAGACTGACACATTCATTGCCTGTAACAGGCTTTAAGCAGCAGGGGGCAATGTCACAGCAACTCTGACCTACAGACCTCACTCTGTTGCTCACTCACTCTGCAGTTACTTCACAAGTTAGAGTTATTCATTTTTGGATGAATAGAAACGCAGTCTTTTTTTCTTTCACTTCAGCCCTTCTCCAAGTACAGATTTAGATACATCAAGAAAGAATTCCTACCAGAATATTAAAAGAAAAACATTAAACTTTTATGTTTCACTTTTTGATTTTGAGTTCTGTGAATAGTGTCTTTGATATTCATGCGGTTTGGCAACAGGACACAGAGCAGACACAAACACAGACAGAGCGAGCGAGCGAGCGAATCACAGGCTGGACAGTGCAGTGCATTTAAACCGTTTTATTCCCAGGCGGGTCTGCGTATGCTCTGCTGCAGCCGTATATCATCTCCTGACGGGGCCGCGTCTCTCTTCCAGTCACAGCATGACGTTCACCTGCGCCATAATTTACTGAAATCACACCAGGTGTCAGCCTCTGTTCTTGTGCTGCCGTAGCTCAGCGCTGTCACCACATTACACAGCAGAACTCAAAGGATAGACTTCTGGAGGCTTAAGCAGCCGATACATGTGTGTCCAACAGGGCTGTCTGGTGTATTTGGATGCTTTATTGTGGGTTTCTTCAAGCCAGCGGGGGTTTTAAAAATCAGCCTGCAGGTGTCCAACGGGAAGGCAATGTTCAGTTCTTGGCTGAGTTGGTGGGATTCATTTCAGATTACGTTGGTTAGCGCTCAATGCTAGTCTAAGCTTGCTTCCTGGATCCAGACACCCACATAGAAGGGTTTATTGCCACTGATCACTCCCCCCCCCCCCTTCCTCTTTGCTTCTACCCCTGTCTCCCAAATTCCCCCCCCCCCGCCTCTTTCAGCTTTGACAGGACAGGACCAGACAAGACAACTTGTAAGGTGTGGGTTGCCTTGGAAACAGGGGCCTCCCAGCCCAAACAGCTGGAGGCAGAGGTCTATTGTTCAGAGAGCTAAAGGATGAGGAGAAGTTTCAGTCAGCTGCCTTCGACTTTCAGGGCTGCTTCTGAAGTCAATATATTCAAAATATAGAAGTTTTAGAAACAATAATCATCAAAGGATGTAAACCTGTTAGTCCGACTGAAATCATCCTAAATAGACACTCGAGCGTATCGATGCTTTCTTACACTCCTTGTGAGGAGACAGTACGGCCTTGAATGAATACACAGAACAAACAGAGATTTCATATTAACATCATGTTGTCTTCGTTCTTTTGTGTTACGTTGTGATATTATAAAGGAGCCATTGTGTCCTCTTCTTCTGCGGGGGTTTTTATACTAATGGAATTGGCACTAGGAATTGTTTAATCAAAGGTTTAAACTTCCTAACATTTACTTCAGTGGGCAGAAACACATATTGTTTGGAAATGACTGTATTTTATTTTCTTTGGAAATTCTGTCATAACTTGTCTTACATTTCAAGGGAAACCTGGCCTCGTCTGTCTCATGCCGTCACTCGTCCCCTCATCCTCAGCCCACGTTGTTTTTTTTCTTTGGCTCCCATTCTCTTCTTTTCTCTTGTTTTCTTCTGTCCCCATTCAGTCACATATCATGAGTAATCCTTGGCTGCTGTTTTCGGTGAAGAAATACTATATTAGTCAGACACGCACATGTGCATGCATCCTGTGGATATACCACAGGATCACCTAAATGTTTCAACCTTTCGCTGTCTCACATGGTATTTTGTAGTCAGTTTTTCGTGGTTTTACAGAATACAGAAGCGCTGGATATTCTGATTTAACCTTGCCTTGTGTTCAGTTGACCTGCTTGGCTGAAAATCTCACCTAAGTGACACTGACAGGGAACTGCTAAGGCTGCTAAGTAAACTCTCTGATTGGGCTCGATGCCCACTTTCTGTATGTGTGAAGGGGTGGAAGGGTGCAGGGTA